TTATGTCTGACGACATTTTCAGTTCAATTATGTATAGAATCAAAACGATTATATATGAATCGAATAAACACTTTATATTCCGTAGATAGATAGGTGTATCAACCTGTCCTTCCAACAACCACTTCTTCAGACTCGGACTTGGTTTTGTGATAGCTAATTATAAGCAATCAATAGTTTAAGTTCAAGCAGAAATTCTTTTCTTAGAATAAATAACTTATAGCAATGTTGAAAAAAATAGATAAAGAAAAGATTATTTTTTTTTTGAAAAAAAGAGCAATAATAGTCATATATAATCATTATCAACGAACTTTATTCAACAAGACAAAATTAGATGCAAAATTCAAATTATTTTCAATTTGTTCTATTTTGCAGGTATTCTCCTGCACGTTGATGGTAATTAATTCAATACACATTAGCTAATTTTTATTATATTTTATGGTCTTCTTTACACTTCCCATTATTGAGAAAAGGTTTTTACATTAATGAAAGTATAAAGCTGTATATTTTGAACGATATATGTGCCATATTAAACAATTCTTTGGCCCGACATCATGTGTTAGAGGATTTTTGGTAGTTTTCGTAAGCAAAACTTGGACGCCTTTTGCTGTTGTCTGCCAACAAGTAGGCAAATATGTTGTCAGCAGTAACGCGAATCTTTCCAGTATCTATGAGATTGACCGCAAATATACTGGTTCTTATATTAGTTGGCCATTTTTTGTCAGCTTTTGTAATTGCTTCCCTAACTTTTGCTTCTGGCTCTACAATAATCGCTTTTTAGAGTACCCTACTGTCAGCAAAAGCTTTTAATTAGAGTAAAATTTTCAAAAAGTTGCATTCTACTTCCTTTAATTTTCAAATCTTCAGTGATTCTTAAACTGGTTCTTATCATTCGTCAAAAGCGCATAAAATTCGTTTTTTTCTTCAGCACTGTTTTCTGTAGTCGTTAAAAATTGATAATACTTTTTAAAATCTACCTTGAAATTCTTCGTCTGTGACATAAAGGTAAGAACGAGTCATCCGATTAAAGATGTCGTTTTTTGTTAACAATATTATAACTTTTTTTCGCTTGAACCAACTGTTTAATGTTTTGCCTATAAGTTCGAAACTTCGTTGAAATTGTCGATTTTTGAACTGAAAACAGCTAAAGTTTTTCCTTCAAAGACAAGGTACAATTTTAAAATTTCATTGCAGCTCTATTGAAGAAATAATTTATCCAGCTTCTAATGTTAGTCTAAACCAAAAATAACGGAAACTTACAGTCGGGCCTTTCCCCTCACCATCTTTGAAATCCATTAGTGAGACGCAAATCAGCACTGCTCTAAAATCACCGTGTTGTTCAATTTGGGTCTTTGTCAAGCTGTCATCGTATTCGATGGCAACAAATCTGAAAAAATGAATAAATTACAAAAAAAGCCCATAAAGTTAGTGTAATATAACATGCTATCAGTCTTACTGAAATTGACATCCAAGATGATCAAAGCTTATTGTACAGTCGCTTGCAGCAGAATGAGTGTTCAGGACGTCCTCTAAAGTTGGAACATAATTCTCACCAAAAATCCTAGAACAGAACACTATTTCGGCTATAAATTTCGTCATTTTTGTAGACCCTGTTCCAAACACGATCACCGCTAATAGCCATCGTTATTTCCTGTCCAACCACTTTTTTTTGTTGACCCCCATCTTCAGTGTAAGAAATAAATTGAAAAATTATAAGTTTTTTACAGATGTCTTTTTTACCAGCAAAATACTGCTTAAAACTGCAGTCATCCCCTAGTTTCTATTACATTGGCAGTTACTTGGCGCTATAAAAAATCGTACCTGTCGACTGAGTCTATAAAGTAAGATCCTAATTCTTGATGTAATTGGGTGTTATTATAGGTCAAAAATGCTCGAAATTTTCGGTCTTCCTGTATTATCTGAAGTTTCTCAAATAGTTTGTCGTCATACTGAACGTTATTTTTGATACCAACGTTGCCAACAATTTCTGCTGAAATTTCTGCCACTTTTTCAGTGCAGAAACAAAACTGAAAGGAAATATTCATTCGTTATTCTCAACTAGGTGCAAAAAAAAAATAAAGTAAAACAAGAAATTTCAGAAGTTTGTGGATAACTGCCTCAGTATTATGCTTATGGTAAACCGGAAGTTGCTATAAACTGCAGTTCAGTCCCTTTCTTGGCAGGCGATGGCAAATGTTTAATACGTTCTACGTCTATTAAAGGTTGCAATAAGGAACGAAGTGCTGCACTGAGCCCCTGCGACGATGGAGGGATTACAGATCGGCAAAGCCTCTGTTTCATTCAATAAAAGTATAAACCATCAATAAGCTTTTTACTATTAGAACTGAAGTGAAACGTTCAACTTTTTTTTAAAAAATCCTAAAGCTGCAACTTAGCTGATTTGTATCTTATTAAAATGCCGCAGTTTTTTTCTGTATTCTTTCAAATTCGCTGATTCTTAATTAGTTTTATACCATAATTTACAAACTGATACTACCGATTTTACAAGTAAACTTTTGCATGATTACATCACCAAGTGTATGAAAACTGGTCCCAACTAAAGCGGTAGATTCAGGTCTGCTTCAAACAACTATGTTACTTATTACTTTCTTCTTGCAACTCAAAAAAAAAAAAAAAAAAAAAAAAAAAAAA